GGTTGCGGAATCTACTAAGAGACGACTATGTCTCACTAACAACGTCATCTGAAAATAAACAATTTGAATGCAAAAGATTTATTTTAATTTCCATGAATGAAAACAAAAAGAGGCTTGTCAGAACTTTTGCTTTAGGTACATAGGTCGAGGCAAAAAGTTATAGAGATTTAGGTAACAGACAGCTATCAAATGTCAATAACTGAGTGTTGCTGTAATAAATAAAGCCTTTCCTATGTTCTCTGTGGTCCAGGGATAACTTAAAAGAACTTGATGTGAATCTCCATTAATGTAAATAAATAGTTTCACTCTATCAGATCCTCTAAGAGCCTGCGTACATTTTGACTAAACTAGCGCACAACTTTTTTGTGATTTGTCGAATGTTTTGTAGCCAATTTAACTGTTTAGTTGCTCAAAATCGGGTAATTTGCACACCTCCATATAAGCTCATAGGAATCAAATCGCGACTAAACAGTCGCGCGATAGTTCAGCCAAAGCTCTAAATTACTATTTTATGTTAAAACTAAAACCAACAACAATTACCGTAACTTTCAGCTATTACTGAATCAAATGATTTCAATGTTCAATTATGTTAATAACTATTATTTATTTATTACATGTAAATAATATTACACATTAGTGATGATGGTGTTGATTAACAAATTTATTGCTACTAAAGCAATTGCTTAAACCATTATATACATCGATTATTTCGGTTTACAAAAAAAAAATGGTTTTGTGTTAATCAGGTTAATTCACGTTAAACTTAGTGCTATCCCATCCGGTAATAATAACGAAGTAACGTATTGTGCCGAGGCTCCGAGCTTAGTTACTCATAAACGAGGTTTAGGCTAAACGTCACCTGCGCTCGGTCACCTCAAGCCCGGTGAATCTGTAAATACCTCTTCAAGGCAAACAGTGGCCATTCATTCACAAAAAAAATCTTCGTGCTAATGTGAAGGATTACTCGAAGAATAATTAAATAAATAAACATTATGTTCGTGTTTAAAATAACGAAACTTACTTGATATGATAAATGTAAAAGTTTGGTTGTTTTGACAGAATTTATATCTAGAACGGCTCAAGGAATTTCGCAGAAAGTCACGGACGAAGACATAGCCTTAATAAGTTTTTTTTCATTAGACGCGGAATGAATAACGTGCGTCAGCTTATTCAATAACATACATTTTAATTTTATAGCACCAATAACAAAAAGCGTATTCAATTAGATAGACATAAAAATTGCATTTTGAGTTGGTTAACTTAATTGTCTAACATATTTTTAATTGTTCAATATCTATATACTTGTCACCTCAACATACAAATCATTATTATTTAAGTAGACATCGTTGTTTCGTTGTAATTCTTGTGACAGTTCCTTTAGTTCGATGCCTCCTTACGTGGTACAATTCTTTAACTTGCCATGCTTTATAAAGACTGTACAGGTTGATAAAAAGTAGGATCTGATGTTTCTGTCCATTCTTTTTAGTGTTTAATTAAAACTATTTTACATTAGATGGACAATATTCCCGATCGTGTAAATGTTAAAAACCTAAAAGCACTCGACTTTTTTAATATTTTGTAAGTGATACATGTAATTCATGCAATTAATAGGTAAGTTAAATGAAATTAGAGAGTTATCGTAATGGTCTATAGCTTTTATTATAGATAGATTCAAATAGTCATAGTTTGTTTGTTTAAAACTTAGGTACATTCGCCCCTTTTTTCAACCTATTACCAAAAGTATTAATTGAGTAGTAACTAATTTACGTAAAAACAGAAATCTACCGATGCAAGATTCCAAATTCTTAAGCCCGGTAATTGTTGTTCTCAGACAATAAAATTGTCCTTTAAATTTTCCTGAGAACAAACGCATTTAGTTGGATAAGGATTAATATTGATACCAATAAAAGAACGCCGCAAATATTGTGCGGTTTTTAATTCATTTTGTAAACAAAAAACAGGTTATTGTAAGAAAGCCGTTAAAGATAGATAGAGACTCTTTGAGATCTACAATTCTTTCATACATCATTTTTATATACCTCTAACAGTTTAGGCAGCGTAAGCCGAAAAAAGTTAAAGTTTATTGGATTTTTAAAGCCGGTGTACAGAAACACGCTGTGTATTAATAGTTCCTAAACATTAATAATAATAAAATGTAGCCTATGTTACTCACAGATAAATAACCTTTCTGATGGTTAAAAAATTTTGAAAATCGGCCTAATAGTTTTTGCGTGAGTGAAATATAAACAAAAATACAAAAAATACAAATCTTTTCTCTTTATATTAGAATAGAAGTATAGATATAGATTAGTATAGATTGAGCTTGCTAGCATTGTAAGCGATTTAAGTAATATTTGCATGTGGTAGTGCTCGCTTTAACATCTTAGCACGAATGGGCCGGCACGCCCAGAAATACCACGACCACACAGAAAACAGGCGTGAAATGGAACCAATTCCGTGTTTCGTCTGATGAGTGTGGTGCCGGAGGCCTAATTTTAGTCCCTTTCTCTTTTCCACCCTTTTCTTATAAGAAGAGGATGGGAAGAGGAAGTGGATTTGACGGTGGAGGATATGCATAGGAAGGAGAAATATCCTCTTTATGAGCGTCTCCTCCTCCGTTGGATAAGGGTAGGAAACGCATCTGCAATTGTGGATGTCTATGGGCAGCGGTCGATTCGTCATTTTGGAGCATTGAGGTGGCCGCTTGCTCGTTTGCCACCATATGTTATAAAAAAAAGGTAATAAGTTCTTTGATTGTCCGACTCCCTAGCCATTTATGTCACATCTAATTTCTAAGATTTTACTATTTTTAATATTGTCTACTTTTTTCTCTATGTTTTTTGTTTTTCTTTATTCATGTTTTCTAAGCGATTTTCATACTATTATCTATATAGTTAATTTGCGAAAACTAACATGTCTAGTTTTCCTGTTTAATAAAAAAAAATGAAAATAACAGAGTAAGAGATAATCTACAAGCTTTATTGGATTGAGAATTTTGAATATTTACTAGAAATACTTTATAGTAATGGTGATCAAAACTTTCCTAGTTGTACTCGTATTCTCCGCTTGAATCGCTTTATTTTTTAATCATACTACGGGTAATATTATAAATGCGAAAGTTTAGATGGATGGATGTTTGTTAGAGTTTGTAGCCTAAACGGCTGAACGGATCTGGGTGAAATTTGGCATAGATGTAGAACAGAGTATGGAAGAACACATAGGCTACTTATTTTTGGTTTTTTAATACCACGCAGACGGAGTCGCGGGCGAAAGCTAGTAATTCCATAAATATAAGGAAATGCGATTTTTGTAACGAATAGCCAAATACGACATTTAATTATATACCAGCATCTTAAATGATTACGGCATTTTTAAAATCCAAATTCCATTGAAATCTAACAGATTTTACGTGGCGCCTCCGTAGCGATATTTTTGAGATTCGTTTCAGTTTAGTCTATATCTATACTAATGTTATAAAGAGAAAAGATTTGTATTTTAACAAGCAAATAGAACTTGCTAAGCTAACTTAGTTTCATTGAGTACTCGTAATGGGCGTGCAAAAAACTAGCTAAGTAAATTACTTAGTTGATACAAAACAATAAGCCTGTATTGTATTATGTCTACATATATCCATCCGAACATCTTCATCATCCTCCTTATCCTACTCCCGTAGTGTCGGCGAAACAGGTATATGTTCTTCAAATAACTCTATCATACGTCATCACTCCCTTTTTGATCAGGTCACCTTTCACGCAATCCCTCCATCTCTTTCTAGGTCTACCTCTACCGGTGTACCCTTCTACACTCATAACTAACGTTCTCCTTGCAACATGCGATTTATCCCTCCTCATAACATGCCCATACCATGCTAACCTTTTACTCTTTACCTTCTCTACCATTGGAGCTACTCTCAAACTTCCTCCTAACATTTCAACATTATTTTATGTATTATTTTGTCATGCGAATTGGTTTATTAAATTAAATAAGAGCTTTGTCGTTATGATATCTCGTTTTATTATAGACAGATTCAAACAGTCATAGTTTGTTTTTAGTACAGGTAACCGCCGTTGTAAGCGCCGTTGCAC